AATTACAATTTGCCATTTTTTAGAGATTACTGTTTAAATAATCATTTTAAGATCAAATGTATCTTACTCTTGAATTTCTCGTTTAATAATTGCAAAGACTGTTTCCACAAGTGTTAAGTGTAATTATTTCGTAGTACAGTACATTATAGTCAATTAATTTAATTCAATGTCTGGTAATATACCAGAGAAATTTTTCTTGTATTAAAATGATTTAGTCGTACAATTCATTATTTTCTTTTAGTTTGTAGATTTTATTTCAAACATAACTCATTTACAATGTATAAACATCTCTTAAACATGTATTAATAAAAATTACATCGTAAAAAATTGTAAAAAATATTATATTTATATAAATCTGTATTTGTTAAAATTAATGTCGATAAAACTGTACATAATAAACTTTTTTATAGTAGAATATTGTACATACTTGTTTGAACCTGTCTGTTACTTAAGAGAAATTATTATATAACTTCTAAGTAATGAGTAATTGTATGCTGTACACTTCAAAAGTAAGTTTATCACAATTTCTTATTTTTAAAATAGACTAATACGAAAAAAAAATTTTTTTTTATGCTTTCTTACTCCCAGCCTTTCAGTAAGTATATTGTGTAGGTCTTAAATTTAATTTTACTTAAAATTTTTACATGAATTAATGTATAACAGTACGTTTCTAGATATTTTGCGAAACGATCAAATGCCAAATGATCGAAAAATTTCATTGCGAATAAGATAGAACGAATCCAATGAGTAACCAAACTACTTTTTGTTGATGTATTCAATTAAACCAATATGTTCCTGCGAAAAAAATTTGAGATTGGCAGAAAGCCGACGAAGCAATAGTGGCACTTAGTACTAAAGTGTAAGTAATGAGTATTATGAATATTCAGTTAATTAAATTAAGTTTATTATGTGCAAAAGCATTTCTGTACAAATAAAAAATTTTTAATACAAGGTATTTATTTAATAGTACGTACGGGAATAAAATTTGAAAAAGAATAGTTGCCATAACTTACTTTAACCTGAGATGACAGTCGTTTTGAGATACTAATAAAAAAAGTGCTTTTTTAAATACTGACGAAATGCTTAGCAAAAGTTGTGTTTTATTTTTCTCTATAACTTTAATTTTTATTTTTTTTTACTTCGTAAAGTTTACGGAAAATTAGTCCCTTCATAAAAATGGATAGAATAATACCAAGTGTGTGTGTGTGTGTGTGTGGAAGAACAAAGTGCGAAAATTCGTGCTTCACAAATTTAAGCTTTAAAAAATCATCCGTGGGCACACTTTGCGTTAAGTAAGTCACTTTTGGCCATAGATTAGGAAAGCACTTTGGGCTTTATTGCAGAAAAGTAGTGTGGACCTGGAGGGTGTAAAAAACTTTTCTGCCCGTGTGGGTTCAAAGTGGTTACAAAGGCGCAAAGTGTGACCCGGGAGTGCAAAACGGCAGTTGCACTTTGTACCCATAGTAAAAAAAAGTAATAAATACAATGATTGGATATCTTTATCTTGTTTCATTAGTAATAAAAATTGTTAAATACAAAATAAGAATTCTATTTCATGGAAAATATAGATAATATACATATATATGGGTGATTCTGCTGTAAGTGGACAATATTGTGTCCAGAGCTAATACTACTACAAGAAGCTAAAGTTAAAGTTATGTTGAAAATGTTAAACTTTCTTGGAAAAAACTTTTCATTATCTCCTCAATGAGATAATTAAGAAATTATAGTCAAAATGTCACTTCCGTACCTTGTCCCAATATCGATGCACCTTCTTGGAAAAAAAAGCTTTTCTACCATGTCCTCGCACATACATTGTTAAGTATTTTATACAAAATCCCGTACATCCATTAGTAACATTGCTTTAGATATTTGTTGTGGATGGTATTGAAGGTACAACTACTATGAAAAATAATTTTTTTAGCCAAAATTTTTATTTTTTAACAATTTTTTAAGGCATTTTCAACCACTTACGGCAGAATCACTCATATATACATTTTTCAATAAAAAAAGTCGTTTACAAAAAATTTCTTCCCATGCTACATCATCTATTTGCAAATCTTTTTCTGACTCTATCAGTATAAAAGTATTGTTTGGATTCTCACAATTAGAAAAAGCAACATATTCAATTATTGTCCATGTAAAAATAAAGGCTTTTTCAAGCTTAAATTGATTTTGTCGAAATTTCGTCAAGGATGTTAAATTTTCTGTGCATAAGGTTATACACGGAGGATAAATACTTTATTCCCGACTTTTTCGCTAGTCTTTATTTCAGCTTCAATGCAATATTTTAAAATAGTTTTGTAATTTTTAATCTCATTCTATTACATGATCTATCTATTATACTTAAATTTCTTATAACATTACTACTGCTTCATTTTTTAAATTGAATTTATTAGGTGGAATACATTTACAAATATTATTTAAAACTTCCGTAAGAAAATTTATATAAATATATATTATGATCAGGTTCATCAATATTTTTATAAGTTGCTTAATCTACACTAGGTACAGTAAGTGATAGTTTCTTCTTCAATAAAATTTGAAATGTTTTTATTTCCTACTTCGGGTGTTTTTAAGGATTGGGTGGGTATGGGTATGCCTTTGGTAGGAAAAGCAGTTTCGGCACACAAGCGCCATCCATCCAGGACTACGTGACGGTCTCTCGGGCCTTCTTCGCAGAATCCTCGGGCCGCAAAATGGCCTCAGAGGCGACGGCACTTTTGTGACGAAAACTACCATTGTTTACGATATGTGTATATTTATTATGTTTTATGTTTTTTTTTTAATTACACTAGGTAAATTTAAATCTGACTTTTTACCAAATACTTTGAAACATACGTCGTTTATTAACCACTTTTTTAGAACGACGAATGACTACATTTCCATTTCCTATATTTAATAATAAAATTATAAAAGTTAAGCGAGATTAGGATAAAAAGTATGCGTTAGTTTAAATATTTTAAATAATGGCGATAAATGTAGAAATTTTATTGTTCCTGATATTACTCTACTTCTGTTACTTTTTTTAATGACATGAAGGATTGGTCAAAAATGACTGGGATCGGCCCTTGAGAACCTTCTCTCAAAACTTTAGAATCACGCCACAGTGTGTAAAGATAGAAAAGGTGATGGCGCTGACAATCACGAGCCTTTTCTCGACGTTTTTGAAACTCACCCCTTTATGGAGATTAACCTACGGCAGTGGCGCTATTGTTATGGGGCCAATCCCATGATATTATAAAAACATTGAGATAATGGGATTTCCATTATCTCAATTTTTTTGTAATATCTGTGTACCTTCTCCTGGTCCATTATGACTATTATAGAGGCCCAAAGGTGGTCAAAAATCTAAACTAGCTGCCTTATAAGAATCGAGAAACTTGATAATTCGTGAAGATCCGAAATATTTTGGTTATATTTCATTCTGGTAAGGAGTCATGTGGTAATTGAAGTAGTGACAATTGGTCAATTTCATAAACCATCCGCAACCCAAACAAACATATAGAAAATAATAAACTGTTGGTGGCAAATTTTTATTTTGTATCCGTTGGTTTAGGCTGCTGCTGGTTTACAAAATCGATTACATGGCACTAATTCAATTAGCACATAACTCTATCAGAATGAAATATGACGAAAATATACCAGATCTTCAAGATTCATGAGGTTACTTAATTCTTGAAAAGGTTACTTCAAGATTCGTGGAGATCTAAAATTTTTTTTTTGATATTTCATTCTGATTAAGAGTTATGTGGTAATTAAAGTAGTGCGATGCAATCGGTTTTATAAACCAGCCGCAACTTTAACTAGTGGTTGAAAATAAAATTTCGTTCTCACTGTCATTCGCAACAAGATCGAAATTTATTTTCTACTCAAAAATCGATCATAAACCCACATATTTTCAAAGGTTGAGTTTCAAGTAGAAGATAAATTATAATCTTGTCAAAAATGACATCTTCGATAATAATTACTTACATATTTTTTATCTGTTGGTGAAAGTTGCGGCTGGTTTAGATTTTTACCATCCTGGGGCCTAAGCTCTTGGCTCATTCTCATTAGTCTAAAACGAACGGACTTTTTCGAACGCGAGGCGCGAGCAGTGGTTGGGGTGGCAGAGCAGAAGTGGTAGTATACTACTATACTAGATATTACGCGCGTAATTGACATTTGCTATTTATTCTTTATAAAAATAAAATACACACAGAACAAGTAAACTTTGAGTACAAAACAGAAATACTGAAGGTAAGTACTGGCTTTCCTCATTTGTCATTGATAATTTAATTTATGTACTTACTAACAATATTTAAACCCTAAAGGAAGCTATGCTGATTCTCTCAAATAATAGTTGTAACCTGCACACTTTATTTTTAATTTTTATTTAGTTGTCTTCGGATTAATTGTAGCTCTATTAAGACATCTAATATTAATTTTACTACATGCCTGTGACGTAAATTTTTTTATAAATAAATTATTGACTACGTGAATTAACATTAATTCTAAGTTATGATATCCCTTACTGTTTGTATACTTAGTACATGCCGGCTTCAATAGAAATTTTTTAATATTTTACAATTCTAGTAAGACTTCATTTTATAATTTCTAATATACAATTAATTTTCTCATGTAAAATTACATTTACTTAAAATATATAGAAACCATTTTTTGCACCAATTAATGTTAATCAATAAGAATCATTAGTATTTCGCTATTATGTCTCGCCCTAAGTATTTTTATAAAATTATTCTTTGATAGATAGCAACATCCTTCAATATTTATTATCTTCAAAAGACTATGCTTCACATAATACATGACTAAATTACTTATATTAATTGGTCATTAAAAAGACCCTTTGTACACAGCAAGTATTTGAAAATCTTATTTTCTTTGCTAAAATATTTATTAGTTTTGATTTTTGGATAATAATCGCTAATAAACTTTGTAAGAGAGAAAATTTTATTATTGACGTATTCTTTTACAGATTGAATGGAAATCAGTACAAAATGACAACAGCAAGAAAGGTGAACGATTGGACTGGTTTTGCTAAATTACGAAATGAAGCTAGCAGTACAATTGAAGCTGCCATGTGCTATCATTGCAAAAAAATTTTTCAGATGTATAGTCAAGAGTTATTCATCAGCCACAGGTAAATAATTGCTTTATAATTTAAGTCACACCTTTGGAAAAATATTTCTTTATTTTCGATTCAAGTTAATTGTTTTTCATCAAAACTATTAATGCTTATTGATTAGGAATCAATGCAACCAACAGATTAATGATAGCACATCCCAAGGCGTTTCAAATTCTTCCAACGACAAGAGTCTGGTAAGATCATACTTTATGACTTGAGCTGTGTGTTACAAGTAAATTTTACACCGTTCTTATAGTAACTTGAAAGTTACTTATTTAATAATAGAGCATACCTCAAAATTTTTTGATAATGTCAGTTCTTCAGGATAAGACAACTCATGTGATTAATCTTATATGAGGTAGCTGTATAAGTTGATCAAGTATTTTTTTTTTTTTTTCAGGAATATTCCGATTTTCCTGACAATTCTGATGTACAAAAAGTGACAGCAGCACTGCATGTACTACTGGCAAAATTTTTCGTTACGGCCAATATACCATTCAAACAAGTCGAAAACAAACACTTTTTAAATTTCATTAAAGGATTGATTAAATCTAAGATCAACTATGAACCTCCATGCAGGGAAACTCTTGCTACAACGATATTTAAAAAGTTGCATGAAAAGGTGGAAAAGGAAAAAAAAATTCAGCTCCAAAATACCGAGAGCGTATTACTTGTGGATGGATGGCGCAATAAGAGTACAAACCAAAAGTACTTGTTTTTCACTCTGCGCAATGTGAACGTTCAGCAAACGTTTTTAAATTATTTCGAGTACCTTATGGACGATGAGGATGACGAAAATGTTTCCACACAAATTAATCGGGCCATAATGGAAGCAAAGGAAAAGTACAGCGCTCATGTTTACGCTATAGTTACGGAAAATGACTCCGAACTAGTTAGAAGTGCCAGAATGATACACTCGTTGAACCATAAACTGTTGATACAATCGACGTGTGCAAGCGACAGTGGTTATTTGCTTATCAAATCATTCGAGGATGATTATCTGGTTGCGATGATCCGAGAAATATTCGATGCCTTCAAGCCAGATTCTAAAATAGAGGCTCTCTTATTAAAAGAAGGTGGAACGCGCCTTAAAGCCCTACCAGAAACACATTGGCGTTTTCTTCGCGATAGTTGTTTCCATCTATTAGAAAACTTGGAAGTTTTGAAAAACATCTGTGATATAGGTGAAATTGATTTACGCCCCGATGTGATCGAATGCATAAATAGCCTGGACTTTGAAAACACTTTGATCGAACTTTTAAACAACTTGGATCCATTATGTGAACTTATCAGTAAATGTCGAGACCCAAAATGTAATGTTGCTGATGTAGCTGAATACTGGCTATCATTTAAATTACCCACCAGCCAGTATGATGACATTATTACTGCGAGAAAAGACAAAGCTATATGGCCAGTCGGCTATGCTGCAAATCTACTTCATCACAAATACGAAGGAAAATTGTTAGATAAAGCACAGAAATTAGTTGCAACGGACTTTTTAAAGGAAGAAATGGACGCATTGGTGTTTGAAGAATACAGAAATTACGAATTGACTAAAGAAGACTACAAGTTTTACGCAGATAATTGTAATGACCCTGTTGCATACTGGAAATTAGTTGGTATGACGTTACCAGATTTATCAAAGTTCGTTGTGAAAATTATGTTGCTACCCGCCTCAACAGCACTTATTGACTCGTTATTTTCTAATTGGACCTATGTTCATGATGCATGTAAAGATCGGCTTAATGGTGAACATTCCCCAAAGCTAGTTGATGTATACTACTCTTTAATGCGTGATTTGTCTATTCAATAATTTTTGGATGAAATTTTAATGGTACATGTTGTAATAATAATAATTGTTTTTACAAATAATACATCTTTAAGTTACATTAAAAAAAAAAAAAGTTTTAATTGTAATTGGCACTAATTTTATATGCTAAATTTGTTACTATTTTTTCAACTTAATTTTTTAAATTTTATACCTTCTAGTAAATATTTCTAGCATACAAATTACAAATTCGAGTGAGATTTTCACTATCAACCCTGATCTTTAAAAAATTCAATTTTTTTGTATAAAATAATTTAAAAAACTTAAATGTTGCAAAACGAAATTAAATGATTTTTACACACCCATGCGTAAACAGATGTCTGTATTTATATTAATCTGCTATAAGCCAGAGGAAAAATAATAACTTAAAGTTGACCTATGATTTTAAAGTTGATTCCGTCCCCTGCAAGTCAGGATATACAAGATAAACCCAAGTATAGTTTTATCAAATGTGAATGAACTATTGTGATGCAATTTCTGATTCTTATTTCTAGTAATTCTTTCAGCAAAGGAATACTTACTCTCCAAAAGTTAAACATTACCTTCAAACTTACGAATGAATCTCTCTCATGTACATATATTATAAATACGGAGACCCAGTATAATCATTTTTACTTGTCACTCTTCGAGATTTTTATTTCTCAAATATAAATAGAATAGAGAAATATGCAAATCAGTCGGATTTTTTCCAAATTTAAAAAATCATCTACGTATTCAAAGAAGAGCAAATCATTCAAGGATAGGTTTGCAAGAAATAGTTCAATAAAACCAAATTCGGTTTTTTTTTTCTTTATTATTGTCACTTTCTGAAACATTACTAAAACACAAGTTTTTTATTTATTACTAAATACTGACTGAGTCACAACTTTATTGCAGATGAAGTTTTAGATTGACTTACTGTTAATAATAGTGACATTAATTCATTTGATTTCATATTTTTTGCATACTCTTTTTCTTTCATAAAATTAGATAAAAAAATAAAATAAAGTTTCTAATCTGTGATAAATTATTTTTTGCTTTCATATATTACTGAAAAAATAAGGGAGTTTAATTCAAAAGAATGACTGTCATATTTGGCAACTCTGTCAAAGAAAGTTTTCGTATTTATTCGTTGTGATGTTCCTGGTATTTTCAACAAGTCTAGAGCGTAGTCGCTTATACTAGCATTTTCAACTTTGGCTAGATTCCAAAAAAGAACATGATTTGTTGCATCACAAATGCTGTACAGCTTATTAAAACAGCCATCCTTATCCCTATAATATCCCAAGGCGTCAAAGATATCTGTAGGAGCCGTTTTTTGAACGAATTCGTTAACTTTATCGCACAACGAAATATAGTTCGTAAATAATGTTCCTCTATACAGGGGATGAAAATAGTTTGAAGCTAAATGTATCTCTTGAATTTGTTTGTGCAATTCACTTCCAATCATGGCATCATGAGTCAAACTGTGTATAATAGGTTGATTGTCCATTAGTAGGAACAAACGTTGTGTTGCTTCGCTGAGATTCAAATTTTTTGAAATAATGCTCTTTTCCAAGTTATTCAAAGCATCGTAAAAACCGGTTAAGAGAGGAAAATCTTTTATAGGAATACGCAAAGGACAATTCTTTAACCTTGTAATAACAGTGTCTACTCCTACCAGACAAGTGTAATTCAGTCTGATGTCTTTGCTTTTTGCCATGAAAGAAATAGTTCCCTCTGATTGTAACTCAAACTCACCATCGTGTATAATAAATTTAATACTCGTGTTGTACAAGTTGAAAGCTTTTTTGATGCATGATTTGCAAAAACTATCAATAGCGGTAGTAAGATTCGGATCGTGGTCTTTTTCTATAATTTTTAAATCAATAAAAGTCGGTTCTTCGTGTACAACATCATTAAATAAAAAAACTAAGCACGAAACTTGGGTGTCGCTCTGGCAAATTTTAAGACTCAAAATTTTGGAATGTTTTTTCAGTTTATTCTTCTTGCATGTGTTATCCATAGCTTGTTGTAAGGTATTACTTTTAAATTCTGCTACAGTGGGGACTTCATGATTGAAGGCTTTGAATAAGTCCACAGTTGTCCGATGAGTGATGTTGTCAAGGTCGATATTGCAAGACAAGAAAAATTTCAAAACACAAATATTTTTCATATCATTAGTTATTTCGACAGGTTGCTGAGATACCTGAGGGGAAAAAAAGGAAAATGATCGTTAGAAAAACTTAATAAAAACTACATAAAATATGTAATTAATTAATTTGGAAATACTTCATTTAAAGCAAAGTAAAATTACTGTTTTTTCATTAAAAATTAGTGGGCAAGTTGTTCCAGTTGCTAATTTGGATTTAAAATGACTGGAGGGTGATTTTAATTTTAAAAAAAGGTAATCTCAAAATTAAAAATTAAATATTATACCAAGTCTTTCTAAAAAATGAGCTACTTATGAAGTCATCAACAGTCAATTTTGTAAACACATTCTTTTTGTATTACTAACTCAAAAAATGTACTTATTGCGATAACAATAATACGTTAGCATATTCATGTACACACTTTCAAACAAAATTATTTTACAACTACATATAACTGATTTTGGAAAATCCAAATTGATGAGTAAATCAGTATTTTTTTCTGCTTTTTTCTTTTAAGCCACGCTTTTCGTCCACAAGCAGAAAGTAATTCATGGGCGCAAAGTGTGCCCACACGCGTAAAATTGCACTTTTTGCCCTCGGTAAGAAAAACATCATACGCGACTCGGTCACAAGCACTTTGGGTGCTCATGTTTGTACTTTGTGCCCTAGTGAAGTAATGTACTACATATAATTGATAATAACCAGGCTTTTCTCATTGATGTCACCACAGGTTGTTCTAGTGTTTTCACTAGATTTATCTACATCCATGGAGAAGTCATCACAATTACTTTTTTCATCTGAAGAGCTATAGCTAGCTTGTGAAGAATTTGAAGCGTTGGCATTATTTTCGTTCTGAAGGCCTTTGCATAATTTTCTATACAAAAAAATTACATTTTGCTGATAACTTAACGAAAGTAACTAGATTCATGATAAAAGAGAGAAGTAGGTAGTGCGTAAATATAGTTATTTTTTTTATAATGAATAGCATTTTTTTTTTTTTTTAAATTTCTAATAATTAATTAAGAATCTACAAATATTTATTCAAAATGTGGAAATGAAATGGTTAATTAGATAATCCTTATAAGAATATAAATACATACGCGTGTTTTTTTAATGTTGCCTCGTCCCTTCTTACTAATTCTTTTTTGCATTTTTTGCACTTTGCATGGGTTATAACGCCTTTGTCGTTTCTGATGTCGTCATAACCATCCCACCCTGCATGCCTCTTTCTGCCCGTTCTGACACTTTGGAAACTTAATTTTAAACAATACATGTGTCATTAGTACTACTATCTTTGAATATACATATAAACTAGAATGCATGCAACAATTTCATCCAGTTGAAATGTAGCGCTTTTACATAATGCTTCGTCTTTTATTAAATATGTATATAACTGAAATAGAAATAAATATAACACGTTCAAATTCATACAGCATTCGATTTTGTAACATATAAAAGTTATACGTAGTTAATATTGTTTGTTTTTACTTTAAAGTTTTATCAAACATAAGAAGTGAACAAACTTCGATACTGTACTCAAGAAAAATGTGATATGAATTTTTTTTATGTATCATAACGATAAGTTATCGAAATTCTTATCACAACAAAAAAAATTTAACTTAATTCTGTTATCGAAAATGCCAATTTTTTAAGTTATAACCTCTAAATGTAAGTTGTAATACTCACTTCATGTTGGGGCTGTCTATATAATTAACATAGTAGTTAGAACTTTTATGATAACCCAAAAACCGTTTATCGCAAAACTTTGCAAAACACTTTTTAGTAATTACTATTCAACATCAGAGAAGTGTATGTTATGCATATGCTCCAAATTAAACATTTTATTTTGCACTCTGCAGTGTATTACACTACTACACCAGACTACACCATTGCAAAGCAGAGCCAGCAGGGTTCAATTCAATTGCAATCCTTTGCATGTTCAATCGGGGCATTCGATACATGCGATATCTCATCGATTGCTCGAGAACTCGTCGTCATCAAGTTCGTTCCAAATTTCAATTATAAGTAAGTAGGGTACGTTTTTTTGTTTTCGGTCGGTCGGTCGTCCCGGTTCCCGGTTTCTTTAGCATGTATGATGTATAGGTGATTCTGCCGTAAGTGGTCAAATTCGTGTCCAGTAGAGCTCATGCTACTACAATAAACTAAAATTTAATATTCAAATTGCGTAAAGTTGTGTTGAAAGTGTTAAACTTTCTTGAAAAAAATTTTCAAACTGATGTATTGACTCCTCAACAAGATTATGAAGAAAATAAATTAAAAATTTTACCTCTGTACCCTGTCCCAATCTCAATTTCGCACCCAAAAGCTCCTATTTGGAAAAAAATAGGCTTCTCTGTAATGTCCTCGCACATACATTGTCAAGTATAGACGTCGTATGTTACATTCATTCCATAATAACACTAATTTTTATCTATAAGCTAGAGTTTATATCAAACACCAAATGTCCCACGATTTAAACAAAAAAAACAAAAACGTCGATTATAGCGGGAATCACTGAAAACCACCCTGTTGTACTTCATAACACCTTTTACTAGTCTCTTTTCTAATCTCACATCATAAAAAAAAAACTTATTAGCCAAATCTGTCAAAAATTGTAATCACTTTAAATGATATACATACTTTCATTTTCAATTTTCGTATGTACAAAAATTTTGGTCACTTCCGTCGAACCCTGGCCCCAACACTTTGTTACTCATACATTTAAGTAAAAATTTTTTCTTGTAAGGTAAACGTACCAATTGACGGAACATATCCCAATTCACGAAACATGAAACTATACATGCTGTTATACAACTAATATCACCAAAAAATTATTTTTAAGTAATTAATAGTTAATTTTAATATTTTCAAACTGAAAAGGCTCGATTATTACATTCAATTCAAAGTAAAATAAGTTTCTCTGTATAATGGTTTCATAATAGGGACATAATTCAACATAACCTAACTTATTTAGTTGTCCGTATTATGAAACGAACTTTTAAAATGAAATTCAATTCCATTACAACTAACTAATCGGCATGAAATGCAATTGTATCAAAAGAAAATCGTGTCATTTGAGCAACGTACTTCAAGTAACTTAAAATTAGTACCCACAAATTACTTTGTGAAGGAAGTTCCATAATCGGAACATGAATTATGAAACACTGGGACAAGCCTTTTGGTGTTTTTTTTATAACAGGGACATATTAGATGTTTCAATTTGATTAGAAAAAAACAGTCTATTTTGCATAAAAATAATATAAAAAAATCATAATAAGTACTCAAGTTGGAGCGATTTAAGAAAAACCAAAATCACTAGCACTAAGGCATGTCCGCTTTTTTTAAGACAATACAGAAAAAAAATGCGAAAATTTGTTTCATAATTGGTACTCTTACATTACTGTTTATTGACGGCAGATGTTTTATAAGCGGAAAATCGTTTATATTGTCACTTCCGTACCCATAATGCAATGGTGAAAGTGTCTCTTCTTCTAGCTTTCGTCGGAAACTTGACGTAACTTTTTTTCCAATCTTATTGGGCTAAAACATAAGACACGTGTCTTGGCGTTTGGTCTAATTGGTCTTTTTTTGTGAGATACATCGAGGAATATCGATTCCACTTCCAACTGATAAGTAACTACCTTATGTCTAAATTTGAGCTTTAAATATTCAATAGAACGCAAGTTATTGAATTTTCAAAAATGGCCAAAAATGACAGTTTTTTTGCAATTTTCGAGAAAACGGCTAAATCGATTAAAGACCACGCGAATTATTTTTTACGTCTTAGAATCGCGCAACTTTTTAGTATTTGGCTTTTTTTGTACGATTTTTAGTTTTTTTTACTAGGCGCAAAAAACCTGTTTTGGCCACTTTTACCGTTTTTTGTGGGCCTTAGCTGAACTTTTTAGGTGTTTGAAAGCAGTACAATTTTTTCATTTTTTCAATGGATAGCAAAAAAAGGAAGGCTTTGCTTACCAAATATATAGAGTCCGTAAATGTAGGTTAACCCAAAAAGTTGGTTTTTGACACGGTGCAAGATAAAACAGGTGGTACGAAGGACCATCTCTATGCTTTGTGCGGTCTGTCGCAATTTTATAGCAGTACCAAGTTCTCCACCAGGTGGATTAGTGTCAAAAAGCTAGTATATATATACATACATACATATTGAAACGGTTACATATATATACACACATATATATATGAATACATTCTACATATATATACTACCTTTTCAACAATGATCCATCTGGTGGAAAACTTGCTACTGCTACAAAATTGTAACTCGGCAGAGGTGGTACTTCGTATTTGTACCACCTGTCTTATCTTACACCGTGTTCTTGTACAACCGTTGCATGGAGTATATACATATTGTTCAGCTGTGTACTTATACCTACGTATGTATATATTCAAGTTGATACTAGAAGTTAGATATGGTTAGTTCATTTCCTGCATGCTGGGGTCGTAAGAGTGCATAAGGGCCTCGACTAGAGTGCATTTTGCATTTTACATTTTGTCCGAGGTTCTAATCTGGCTAAAAGAATTGGCTAAAAGAAAAAGAAAAAAATAAAATAAAATTCAAAATGTGTGGTGTGGTGATGTGATGGGGCGTCATTTAGCGTAGAGCAAACCGGAAGTAGGTACGTCTCGGGGGGCAAGGCCAAGGGGAAGAATCAAGCAAAATCCACTTCCGTCTCACCTTTTCTCAAGATCAAAATCTGAAATCCTTGATTTACCCTCGCGCATGACGCGCCTATAGAAGTGTAACTTCAAAAATAAACATTTAGGAACTATATAAATAATATTTTATTCGTAATACTTATTTAATTTTAAAAAAATAAACAGTAGTTATTTACTATAAAAATATAAATCAAAGTAAGCAACCAACGACTGTTCCTCTCTTCAAAACTATTGATCACTCGCAACAACAAGTTTCAATGTTGTACAAATGGCATTATTTAAGATAGGTTTATAATAAATATCTCCAGTAATAACTTATTTTATTTTGTCATCACTATCTTTAACTTGTACTAAATCATTTACACACTCCATTGTACCTATTAAAAGAAAGTTAAAGATGTACAAATGTTGAAGCAACGGAATGGATAAGCCACTTGGTAAATACAAATACACGTATATGTGTTGTATATACAATATGAAGTACGAAAAAGACCCGCATATAAAAATCGAGTCCCGGCACAGGACAGGTCCTGTACAGGCACTGGATCTGCCTTACAGTTCCTTTACAGGTAGTCACGTAGTCAGGCAAATTTATATGTATATATACACACTTACAGGGACTTCTGTAAGTGTATAGTGTAGTGCTAGCTGACGGAACAGACTTGTGAAGTTGGCGCCCGTAAATATTAAATGTTAATATTTTGCACTCATTCAGGGCTTAAACGATTCCTCCTTACTTACGGATTTATCCTCCACTCGTATTTTTATTTGCGGATCAATAGTTTGCGAGATGTTTGCAAAATAAAAAGTCCAAAATGGGCGCGGCGCTGAAGTATAAAAAAACTTTGTTTTAAGTAGTAAATTGGGTTAAAATCCAATTCTACCTGTACGATTCGATTCCTCCTCATTTGCGGATTATAAAGATACATAAATTAATGTAATTAAATGTCACAAAGTTTGTAAATAATGAATTTAATTATTGAGTGAGAGAATCTAGTAACTTTTGTCTAGTGACTTCTGGTCCAGGCTCCGCTCCTGTTGTTCGGTACATGTCGTTTCCTCCATACAGCGGGTTCTACAAAATATTTATTAGAATAGAAAACTTAAGTAGGTATTAATCTATTAATTATTAGTTATAAGTTATTCAGCCTTTGGGTCATCACACACACACACACACACACACACACACACACTCATTTTTTGATGACTATGCAATCTAGTGTAAACCCATTTAATAAACATTTTTTAAAATTAAGTACTTGTAAATTTATTACTGGGGCTGTGTTTGCATAGGCTCCGTTTGTAGTCTGTTAAGGTCACGTGATCATTTATGATAAGTGCGAGTGAGATGGTGACATTATGCTGTCTCCCTCGCACTTATGATAAATGATCACGTGACCTTAATAAACTTAATAACAAACAGAGCCTTAGGCGAACACAGCCTGTGTCACTTTTATCCATTTCCACTGGTCGGTAACTTGATCTTCAATTCGACTGATTGATCATTTACGCGCGAAATTTGAATGCTTGAGCTGTTTTCTAAAACTTCTCCAAACAAAATTATTACTTGTGTGCTTTGCTGTGGCTTGTCTTGTAATAATTATAACTGTTCTGCTACTTTTTCGTTGTGTTGCTATTTGTTTCTTGAATAACAACAAATATTAAAATTTCGCGTGTAATGAATAAAAATCAGTCCACAGTGTTTGCCACAATAGATTTCATATGTTAGATTCTTAAGATGAAAAATCTGTACCTATTAACAAATAAATTTTTCCTTGAGTTTGAAGTATGTAATGTATGTGTGTGTGTGTGTATTGACCCAAAAGCTGAATAACTTAAAACTAATAATTAATAGATTAATACCTACTAAACTTTTCTATTCTGATAAATATTTTGTAGAACCCGCTGTTCGGAGTAAACGACATGTACCGAATAACAGGAACAGAGCACTGGACCAAAACTCAGTAGACAAAAGTTACTAGATTCTCTCACTCAATAATTAAATTCGTTTTTTACAAACTTTGTGACATTCAATGACATTAATTTATATATCTCCATAATCCGCAAATGAGGAGGAATCGAATCGTACAGGTAAAATTGGATTTTAACCCAATTTAGCACTTAAAACAAAGTCTTTTATACTTCAGCGCCGCGCCCATTTTCGACTTTTTATTTTGCAAATATCTCGCAAACTATTGATCCGCAAATAAAAATTTAAGTGGAGGATAAGTCCGCAAGTAAGGAGGAATCGTTTAAGCCCTGAATGGGTGCAAAATATTAATATTTAATATTTACGGGCGCCAACTTCACAAGTCTTGACGGAACGCGGCTCAGCCGGGGAGAGCTACATGTGACAATGTAATGGTGCAGCCACGGTCATGTGTATATATATATATATATATATATATACACATATATATGATGAGTGAGTTAGACAGTTATAGTAGGAGAAATTGGAGAAATTTAGTTTTCTATCCCCTACCCCGCGGCCAACGCTCTTGCACGCTACTATACATATACGTTCGGAGAGTTGTAGCCAATCTCAATCACGTTAGAAAGAGAAAGGATATCTTGCACCAGTATTACATATATAGTTATGCTCCATCTCTCTTCTCTTATTGTGCGATCAGGGCATACAATAATGCGTCCTTCACGTATAGACCTGTCTTACAGCCTGTTTAGACTCGCAACGAGTTCCAAGTAACTAAGTTTCACACTTGAGCATGCTCATGCATGAACGAGTGCCAGCTTAGACTTGAAAACAGGTAAATTTTCGTAATCCAAAAGAGCTTCGTTACGTATGGTCTAGCACGAAACTTGGCTCATATAAATAATCGAAGCAACCAAGAGCGGTCAGTCAAAATTTAGTAGTTCTCCACAACAGAGCTCTCTACGTAATTCTTGGTGCTCCCCTCGAAATTCAACCAATATTTCTCTGTAGTTGTTTTTTTAATAACGAGTTATTGGGGTAGTCCAAGAAGAAACTGTGCTTCTAGTGTGTGCTTAAGAGACCTGGACATCATCTTCGAGGTGTTGTAGAACAAGATTCCCACTAAAAATTTGCCCTGCAGCTCAAGAATACTAACCAAGGTAGGAGACGACATAGGACCACTTAAAGGACACCACCAGACTTCCTGAACAGGTAAGTATGTCATGAAAATTTAAGCAGGACTGAAATATTATTATAAACTAAGAGCTGGGGTGCAAATTAAGCAAAAAATTATACCTGCCACTAATCTGACAAAAGTTAAGGAATCCTACTCGCCTATGAGTCGTAGAGATCCAAAGTGTTTTCACACAAAGTAGGCTCGCTATGACACTTGGCAAAATGACGGCAAGTATTTTTTTTGTGGAAAGTCCATTCACTTCAAACTCGATTTTCGAATAGTAAAAAAGGTTCCAATTTTGCCGCCAATATCATTTCTAGAACAATTTTTTATTCTCTATCATAGTGACGACATGTATAAATTTTATGCGTTACAAAGTTTTTTTATACCGATGTAACTTGTCATAGCATGGCTAAATCGAGAAAACACTTTTCATAATGACGGAATCAACACAACTCCAAATCCAATAACATAACCTTGTTTGCTTTAGCGTCGAAGCAGAAAGAACTAAATTAGTTCGTGAAATGATCCGAGTATAACGCGAGTGACTAGTGACGGTTCCATCGATTCATGTAATTATGTTGCTCACATTATTTCATTCGCTGTCAGTAAACTATTAAACTATAGACTTTGACTTATTTTTAATGAAGTAATTGCAAATAATACCCTTATATTAAATCCATTTACATCTACGTTTGACAACCCAAACATGATAAAACACTAAAAATTATGTTGCCAACCGTGCATTGTGCCAGCAAAAGTCCTGAATGACTACCTCTTCTCTTATCATAGGCTCTTTAATCGCTTTCTGTTATCTCCGCCGATTACTTCGGTAGTAGCCAACTGAACTACCACCTACCACGCACTCAAAGCGTCTATTCGCTACGTGTTAGTAAGTAGTTTGTGGAAATAACAGAAAGCGATTGAAAAGCCCATGATGAAAGAAAAGTGCGTACTTTCAGGACTTTTGCTAGTACAATGCACGGTTGAACTCGCGGTTGATAACACAATTTTTACTGTTTCATCATGGTTGGGTTGTACGTGGGTTGTGGGTTGGCACGCGAGAGACCACGGTTCAATTACCAGTTAGTGCAACTTTTTCGAGCAAGTACTTCTGTAAAAATTCACTACGCGGGTATAACGTAAGTGACAGTCAGTGACATCTCCACTAGCTTTATTTTATTAATTACCATTCGTATGATTGAAGATTATATTCAATGTCTTTTCAATAAAAAAGCTGTGAACTATGAGTTTATCATGATAATGGTTATATTTACCTTCTGTGATTCAAAATATTGAAAAACTCAAAAACACGCAATCAACAATGCAATATTATGAGTCCTCAAGAGTCCGGATATTTTGCACATTTCTTTCACCACGGGCTCTTAGATGGCTTTTTTTACCTCCCCAAGGACTAGTACACAAAGCGAATAGTACGTCGTTGCGATGGCTCAACCATAGAGGTATGACTAATAGAGTAGGGGAGTCGACTTAAAACGCATCCTGTCAGTAGAAAGAGAGGACAAATGAAGTGATCCTCTATGTATAGGTATACTTCCAAAGTTTTCATGCTTGTAGGTGGGGTGATGGAAGGTCTTTTTATTCTCTTATCTTTCTCTTCCAACGAGATATTTATACTTATGCGTTAAGTACTCACTCCTCTACTCTATTAGTAATATCTCTATGGGCGCAACGGTAGAGTTGCAGTTTCGTCGATCTTTGAGGTTAAGCAGCATTTAACGTGGTTAGTACTTCGATGGGTGACCGTTCAAGTCTTGTCCTGTCTGTTGATTTTAGGTATCTGTTGATTTTCGAGAGTAGATTAACTGTTTCTCTTACGATTCTTCAACGTGATCATATGTGTGATTGAGTTGGTCCTGGTCTTTATACGTATAAACATCTGGTCGTAACTCAGGTTTGCACTGTTTGCAATATTTTTTTTCTAAACGAAAAATATTAATTTTCATTTCACCTCAGATTCAAATCATTTTAATCATTATTTGAGCTCATGTTTTTAAATTTTTCTGATGATAAAAAAAAAAAAAAAAAAAAAAAAAACCAGCTACTCAGCCTATACCAATCGAATCTCGCCAAAACAAGCTTTATTTATCACCTGAGCCACAATTTTTTTATGAAGAAAGTATTACACGCAAACGCTAGATATATATATCATTAAAAAATAAAAAAAATACCATATTTAATTAATGACCGTTAAAATTTTCAGCAAACTTTGTTTGAGGCAAATCTTTCATTCTTCGGAATAGAATCTCCAGCCAAAGCTTCAATAACCATCATAAAGATGCCGATTTACGGTTTGCGTATCATTCTATCTCGTGAACAATGGCTCAACTACATGATATGGTTGTTATCCAATGACGTGCGGTCAAGGCAGGATCTGAATCGCAATCCGGTCTCTGATGATCATCTGGTTGACAACGTCAGCCAGCTCATTCGCTCCGACCACGAGAATCGCGGCCTGAATCGAGGGCGGTCTATTGAATCGTGCAATCGTGCTGTAGCTAACGAATTCTTGTTTCGGCTCTGCGTACCAGGTACTACTCGAGCAATCCGTCCCACTTTGAGGATGTTGCAACGACGCAGGCGAAGGCTGATGCAAAGCTCCTGTCTGCGAAAAGATGAGGTACTTGGTATGATCGTACCTTTTGTACCTAGTCTTCGACGATCGAGTATTCGTTTAAGGTGCTGTCGTGGTCAAATATTTACCAAATTGACGAATCGTATTGGCTTGACACTAGTTCTTTTTATTGATAATAATGTCGTAGGACTCAGTCTTGGCTATTATTGTCAGAAATAGTATTTTTATCGCGAAGTTTTGACCTGTATTTTTATTTTTTTATTTCTTTTTTATTAGTTTTTTTTTTAGCAAGTTTAGCAAGTAATTATCGAAAGATTTTAAGTCAACAAGATTAAAAATCATTCAAAAATTAATCATTGTGAAAACTAGGTTGTTTATACTTCTTTCGGACCTGATTCAATATTAAAATATGAGTTTACAAAAATTTTTATGCTGAAAGCAATAGTGTAGTTGAAGAGCTGGGACAGTCATTTAATTATTTTTACTGTTTTGTTCGAGTAATTTATATTGAATTATCAAATATTCGAAAATTACTTTAATTCAATGAAGAAAGAAAAAAAATTTTATCTGCCACATGGGAGGGAAGTACGAATTCACTTACCAGGTATTTTACAGGCAGGACAATCAAGCGTATATTTTCTTCTCCTAATTACCACAATTTTGGTGTAATATATCATTCTGTTTAAAATAAGTAGGAAAATAAAATAAATGTGTGTTAACATTCGCGAAAATAATTTTCTACTTACCAATAATAATTGTAGTTATTTTATAAGTGTATTATTAATAAATTCTAAATTTTTTATAAATTTTAAATATTTTATTACTTAACATGAATTGTCCCTGCCATACTTATTATAGTTTATTTCTGCATTATACCTTTTTTTTACTTTATAAATTTGTTTTTTTTTACGGTTTACACGTAACTTCCATGATTTTAGTTTAGTTATTCATTGAGTACATTAATACAATCGCACGAAACCTTAGATTATATAGAGTTGGAAAAAAGTTTTGAAAAATGTTTCTTAAAGTCATCGCCTAATTCGAAATATCTGCAAACGAAATTTGTGTTGACGTTTTTAGAAAGTCAACGTTATAAAACTGATACATCCATATTTATATAAAAATTGATCTAAAGAGTTCCACAAACATGTCTCAATTTTTAAAAACCTGTACACCCTATACGTATAATATTTCGAAAAAGTAATTCACCTGTACTATAACAGTTTTTAACGTTTATAATAGAGAGTTGACCGACAAAAATTAAAAAAAAAAAAAATGAATACTATCGCCCGCTTATGAACAAAGATATTAATGAAAACATCAATAAACAACTCAAATTTCCATGCTAATGCTAATGCTTGTGGGCATTTTTTGATGGTATCGTCAGTTTAATCAGTTTTTTATGTTACTTGTTAACATTTAAAATTTGGTATATTTATGTACTCCTAAAACATGCATTGTAACTACTCACGTAATCTTAAAAAAGTTCAACTTTCTACAAAATTTAAGCAACTTAACTCAATTTTGCAGTTTATTTTACAACACTTCTGTTGCAAAGACCAACTTGTTGTTAATAAATAAAATGACTCCCACTTCTTGAAAAATTTGTGTATAAACTTTTTATCAAAATTGTTAATCATACCATACAGGTTCATCATTCAACAAAATCAAGATTTGAGACTAAAAATAAAACTTAATGACTGTTATTACTAGTTATTAGAACTTAATATTATTTTTTATTCCCATCCTGAATGACACTGATAGTAACTGTAATAATTTACAAGTTATTAAAACTTATAGCTTATAATATTTATTATTTGCATTTAGTTACCATGAATGATAATTTTTATAAATCGTTACTGATTGTTAATGAAAATTATTTACTGTTGTTATTTCACACATCAGATAAATATTATTATAGTCTCAAATCTGGATTTTTGTAAATTATTACTGTTTATTTGTACTTACTATCATTTTTTGAGAAAAATAGCGATTTAATAAATAATTAAATGAAAGAGATTTTTTCAACTTCAGAAGAACTACAGTACGAATTGCCAGCTGTCCAAGTTTTTTGTTTATGATTTATAAACAAACTGAAAAATGTTGTTATTTTAGAAAAAAATTATGCTCACTAAGGATGATATTATATACATCTTTACTTTGGGACGTACGTCTTAAGGACAACAATTTTTGACGGCATTGCACCGCAGAAGCAGGTTGTGGTATGTAGTATTGCATCAGTCGAGCTGTCAAAATGTATTTAAAAAATTTAAGAATATTTTCAGTTTCTAAATTAGTTGTCAAACTGACTTTTACTCATCGTTTTCACTTATCACTTTTTTTCCGGTCTAATTACAGAGTTGCATATGCCACATTCCATACTCCGAGCATTACATATTCAATATTTTCAAGAGATAAGTAAGATATTGTGTCGTACGTATCAGTGACGTAACAAAATATACTGCGTAGTATAGAGTTTTGAACGATAAAGCAAGCACAGCGCAGCTCTTCATTAGTCTTCATTAGTCTAACTTTGACAGCTGATGTGTTAAACCTCGTACAATGCGACATCTTGCCGTTATCCATCCAGATGAAGGTAAAAACAGCCTCCCTACAAAAATACCAGAAAAATCACTCAAAAGTTATGCTCGACCCATAAATTTGGGGAAGCTGATCAAACAAAAGTTTGATAACAAAGAAAAGTTTTGGAGTTTCGAACTGGTTCCTACTAATGACACAAATGTGTACAAGAGGTACATGCTTTTATAATCTAACTTTTGCCAATCCCGTGCATATCCATACCAGAGGCATTTATATTATATTCACCGCCATATACACACTTATCAATTTTTTATTAACCACAAACAATCCCCTCCAACAATATGCAGTATTACACACAGAGCGTATCATTTTTAATATTTGTCTTAACGTGTCTTGTAGAAATCCTCTAAATGCTTGTACGGATGAGTAACGTCTTATTTAATTACTTACATCATAAAAAATAATAGTGATTTGTTGACGATGTTTTTTTGTGCAGTACAAAAATATCTAAAATGATCTTATTCAATGGTACATTAATAAATAACTTTAATGAAGGACCTCAAGAATTGCCTCGGTGCATACAAAATTAATTAATAAGTGTAAAAAAACTCATAAGGGTTATGTTTTCACTATGTTTGTGATATAAAACTATGTGCTCATTGTCATTATTTTCGAAGGCTATCATAAAAAATAAATAAATTTAAAAAAGTATGGAAAAAACGTAGAAATCGGCTAGAAAATAACTCAGGTAATGACGAATTGTTCTTGCTGCTCCAATTTTTAGCTCCTTCACGAAAGTCTCCAAACAGAGATATATTATTTCTTGTAAATAAAAGTCTACTGAATTTAATGGTGGTCTAAATAATATTTCGAATGGGTCAAAATTTTAAGAAATCCGAGCTCAAAGTTGTAACTATTAGCACGTGTTCCTATGGGGCAGCGTGAAAAACAATTTGTTTTCGTTTATAATAAACCTAAATTAAATGTCCCAGCAGACTGAATATATACGTTTTGTAGATGAAGTCTTCCTCTGTAATATGCTGTATTAAAAATTGTGGATAAAGGACCATTTTAGCGAGATATTTGTGATGGAAATAAATAAATAGTGTCCGGGAGGTCAGGAGGTCACGTGGGTAGCAGACGTACTTGTTCACCTAATCGCGCGAGTTTTCAAAAAGTTGAGATTCGTATAGCTTGAAGTTTGTATGTACCTAGTATTATTTTTATCGAATAAGGAGTATGAAATTAAATAAATATAAACTTTTTGTATATTTTAATGCTTCTAAATATTTTTATATATTATTTTAACAGTCCTGGAAAATATATATTTGCAATGACTACCTGGTATAACCTCTTGAGTGCCTTTTTTTCTCATATTTTGTTACATACTTTTTTTTCATGAATTTGCCTTTCCTCCATCCTCTTGAGACTCTATGTGCGTGGTATTCTTTTTTTTTAGGTGGATTAGAAGGACCGTCATCCATTGTTTATCAATTAAATGATGTTAATGACTTACAGATACTAAACACTGTAGAGGTAGAGTAATAGCAGAAAGGCATGCAAACACGACATATATATACCATATACCTATATATTACATCGCTATACTACATCAACACAGGTGGTGTACCACTGTACCCTCGTATGCACTAGACTAGTCAAAACAATAATTAATTTTTCGTAACAAAAACTACACACACAAAAATCGTTTTCCCCACTTCATACGTTATTAAAAATATCATAATGATTTTCAGACACATTTGTTTATTGAAAAACAAAACTTTATTTTTTGTTTGTCTTTGACCTCAGCAGTAGTCGTAGGAGCCCCCTTAAGCATTGTATTTTGACAGTAAAAAGGGCAAATATTTCCTACAACAGATTAGTACAATAGACGTTTTAAAGAAAAAATTGAGCCCCGTTTAAACTATTTTTGATAAAATTGAGTGCAAAATTTTTCATGAAACAGCTTAGATCTTTTCATAAATAAATATAATTTCTCAAAAACTAGTAAATTTTTTAACAAAAATTTTCCTGTGGGTTAAAGGTTATGTGATACATATTCCAATAGAATTTTGAGATTCTAGAATTTTTCCTTTTAGAGTAAGAAATACATCCAATTTTTGAAAATTTAGAAAGTTTTTTGCAATTATTTAAATAAATGATAAACGAAACTTAATCAAAAAAGGCTTAAAATAACCGGTCCTTAAACTATAGGAAAACTCAAAAAAATGAATCAACTACAGTTTTAAAGTTATTTGCAAAAAACTCCAATGCTCATAATTTTTCATACAAAAACGACTATTTAACGATGTTCTGTTAGTAGCAGCAGCTTGGGGAAATACTAGGGGTGTAGTGCTTACTAAAAGATCATTTTGTTTTTACCAACTGCTTTTTAAAACGAATTTGTTCCACCGTTTGTTGTAATTCTGCGGGTCTGTGTATCTTTTTAAAAAATAATGAGAATTGAGAAAAAATATACAATAGAAAAAATCAACTGTATTTTTTTTCAAGAAAAAAAAAAGCCACTCACATTGCCGCTTACGATTTTAAAACTTCTATTTTTTTTTCTATGTATTTAATATTATATACCATGGTACAGTACTAATATTCGATTTTTTTATCGTTTGCTAGGGATTTAATGACCTTACGATATTTGTTTTTAATTACGACATGTATTATTAACGTTTCAAGTGATGTACGTATAAATCATGTTTTTTAATAATATAGTTATTAAAAAAAATAAACTTTGAAAGGTTAGGTTGTGGGAACGAGTCTCTTTAAAAATAATTTAAAAATTTCGATAGGTGTGGTATATCTCACTAACTTAGTTTTAAAAAGTTTTTTTAAGGAAACTCAGGAATTTTCGCCACTTTTCTATTCACTAACTTGGCACATAGATTTGACTAATGGTGTCAAGCAATTTCCTGCTTTGAAATGTGCCGAATATTTACCTCCAAATACTTTGATGCACTGTGCAGCTAAAGGCTTAAAAACTGCTGATTTGGAAATAATACTCAACCGAGCACTTAACCTTGGCATTAATAATATTTTTGCTCTACAAGGAGGTAAGGCCTGTTTACTGATATTTTTTTTTTTTTACTTATAAATACATTAAAAAAAGTTTACAAAATTTGAAAATATTGTCATGTAGGATCTTTGATTGCAAAATATAATAAAATAAGTCATACACTGTGAGGGATGAAAGTGTAAGTTTAGAAAAGTTAAGAGTCGTATGCAAAACAGGTATAATCATAGGCGGAAAAACGCATTTTTGTATTTTATTTTATTCTCATTTTTGGAATATACACGATCAACCAACTATTAATGCTGAATAAAATGATAAAAATTGTTAAAAAATTAAGAAAATTATTTTCAAGTTATCAAAGAAATTATATTTCCTTATGTAACAAGATGCATCCGAAAAAATTCACTAACTTTTAAAAATAATACCTACACTCGAATAATATTTTTTCAACTATTTTTGTAGCAAAAACGATATGTTGATATCGTAATATAAATAAAAATTTTCACTTTTACTGTATCTTTGTTTTATTTAGTATCATAATTATTTCAATAAAAAAATCTTTTGTCGGCGTATTTCCGTTTATGAAAATATTTGAATTTGTCGTATCAGAGTCTGCTGGTATTAAAATAGCAAATAACGAAACTGAAAAATGGAGGCGCCACCCGCCTTTGCATACACAATGAATACAGTTTTTATCGTTTTCCTTTCTCAGCATATAAGTACACTCACCACAAATAAGAACATTAGCCAGAGTACTATATTTAGATTCTAAACTTTATGAAACACAGTGGTATCATGTTATCTCAATATGTGATTTTTCGCCTATTACAAAGCTATCTTTATATTAGGAAGCAAAAATATAATTACTGTTTTAACCAAACTGTGCCGAAGTACAAGAAAAGTTACAATATCAGGTCTGGTTGTGTATTAACAAATTAGTTTACACAAATGTAATATGTTAGCTTATGAAAATATAAATTTATATAATACTCTATGTGCG